CATACCAAAGTGATGTCAGTTTGTATAGAAAACATAGTTAGGGATTACATTATTTTAAAAACAGGCACAACTGTAATTGAATATTTATGGAGAAAACTGAGAGAAGCACAACCTTGACTACATGAAGCAAATTTAATGAGTGTAGATGCAATTTTTTTTTTTTTTTTTTAAATAAAAAGTGATTCTTTTTAACAAAGATGGTCTCTGGATCTGGAACACATATCAATGTTACCTGAAGGCAACTATCTCTATTTCTCTTCTCATTTTATCATCAAATATCAGACACTTTACGTTACTTTCACTGGCAGTTAATGGCTTTAATTATAATTCTCTTCGTGTCTGTGGTTAAATTCTGTGGTTATCAGGACTCCAGGTCTCTCCTCTTAGACACGCTGTCTCTATCCAAGAATGAGGGTTTCTGTTTGGGTGTCAAGCTGGTGAGAGGAGCCTACATGGACAAAGAGAGAAAACTAGCGAGGAAAGAGGGTCATCAGGACCCCATCCATCAGAGCTGGGAGGACACCGATGACAGGTTGGTTAGACAGAAGGAAAACCTCCCGAGTATAACAATCACCAATCATTTTTTATCTTTATTCGACTCTTGATAGATTTCACATCTGCTTGAACAGTTATAACGGATGCCTTGATGTGATGCTGGATGTCATGTCGCAGGAACCTGAGCGGTACAGGATCATAGTGGCCACTCACGAGCAGTCAGTGAGACGAGCTGTGACACGCTGAGACAGCAACGTAATCGAGGTGGTATTTGATGTACAGAAAATCAAAAGATTGCTTTCATGTACTTTAATGTATGAAATGCTTATCAAATTTCACAAAAAACGAAAACATGATGCTCAGAATTTTCTGTAACCTACAGGTGAGGATTTATAAAACTAGACTTAAGCAACAGATCCAAACTTCTCTACAGACTAAGCTGCTTTTGCAAGATTTTTTTTTTTAAAGCATAATCGAAATGCTTTTTTCCTGTTTTTATATAATATAATATAATTTCACACACACACACCGTCCTCTTTATAGAGCCTCTGTAGCTTTACTTAGCAGACAGACTGCATGTCTTTTCTTGTGAATCAAAGCATTGTACAAAATGCAATGACTTGTATGTAGGCAACAAAAGATGTACCACTTTTTAATTCACCCTCAACCCACTGATAAGCATCTTAAAGCAGGTGGACTGAGACTGATTTTAATGATATGCTTTTAGTTTTCCATACATGTACTGAATTTATATTATCACTGCAAAAAAAACCCAAACAAAACACAACACTGTTTAATATTTATTTATTAATATTCTGTTAAAAATAATAAAACTCCAGATTTATTCCAAGCAACTGACAGAAGTGGAATATCACATCTGCCATTGCTGACACAAAGCAATGCTAACTGACATAGAAGCAGAGAGCAAAACAGTTTCATTGAGGGAGCATGACCAAGAGCCAAGCTCACAAAATGAGGTACTGATGTTGTTTTGGAATGAAGAACAGCTCTACTGGAAAAACTGAAATCCACAAACTTCAAGCTCAGTAATTTCCTTGATTTTGATTCCTGTAACCGCCTCTCTGGTAACCCGACTGCTTCTGCTGGTAAGATTTCTGATCTGCGGTTGTACAAAGACAACAATCATCTCATTAGTGTTCACACAAATTCATTAAATTACAACAAAAGAAGAAAAAAAACAAACCTGAAAACAAATCAAAACACAAAGGTGTTACACTGAAGGACTTTGCATGTTTTCTAGGAATTGCACAAATTTAAAATAGCATCTATTGCTGAAAACATAACCCAACCTCATTAACATATGAAACAGGAAACAACCTCAGTGAAATTTAACATACCTCTCTGGTAGGATTGCTTCTGTTGGTAGCCACCTTTCTGATCTGTAATACAAATAAAAGATCATTATCTAATAGCAAAATTAGCCTATAATAACAAAAGTAGACAAAGAAATGGTTCAGAAAGGTTAGAAATAAGTTCCCAGAGTACTGTGAGAACAAGATGAACTTACCTCTGTTGAAGTAACCTCCATAGACGCCCTGTTTGAGGTCAAAGACGCGCTCGTTGTTCTCCACCAAGTTGCCCAGTTTCTCTGCCAGCTGCAGAGCCATGTTCTGCAGAGACGTTGGCTCAGTGCGGTGCATCACCACCGTCTGTGTGGGCTGGTCGAGTGACGCCTGTTGGGAAGAGAAAAATGGGGGGATCCAAATTAAAGGCATATAAAAAGTA